GGGGGTTGGGGACCGCTGGGCTAAAGCACACAATAGAAGATTGGAAAATGTTGTCTGGTCTGACGACTCGATTTCAGCAAAATTTCCCACAGACCATTTTAAGCGTCATGATGAATTATTATAAATAATCGTGAAAAATGTAATTACTCTCTAAATTTACCCAAAACATTTTTGGGACAAGGTTTCATTATCAGTTGATTTCTGCGAACGTCCCAGAAATGGAAGTAGAAATAGAAAAATCCTTTATAAAACATCTTCTATGGCTCAGAAGGAGCTTTGTAAAGCCTAAGAAACAAGCACTGAAGATGTTCTCTTCATTAATGACACAGTCAGCAAAGTAAATGGAGTTTAAGAGAAGGAAGAAGGTGCTAACAAAAGGATGCTAATGGGTTACGAAAAATCCTGTGCTTTTGGAGATTGACTCATACAATCCACACAAGGTCCAAATGCGTCAGCCTTTGCTTTGCCCATTTTAAATATTCCTTTTTAGTACTGTCCTTCAAGTCCCCTAAATGTATTAAAAAACAACCTTGTAAAGTTTCAGGAAAGCTAAAATCAGAACAGCGCGCTCGATCAAAGCAAAGATCTTCTGTTTTCTATCACTTTTAAAAGCAACTTCATGCAAAAAGACGCTGAACTGAAAAACTGGAACATAGAAACAATCTCAGTGCATTGGATACTGATGGTGCAGCTTCAGGACATGTAGGTTTCTGCTGCTGTTAGACAGTAAGCTAGTTAACTCCACAGCAGACACTGAGACTCCACTCTCAGTTACTTATTCATTTAAAGGCAAAGAAAAACCCAATGAGACAATAAAACTTACTCTGTCTCTGTCAAGGAGTTTCTCAACTCTTAGGTCAGGTCAGTGAAAGTTTACCTTCCCAAGTCTGTACCTGAAAATAAGGTTGATATTTTTTCCCCCTCAGAAGAATATTGTCTGTTCTTATTAGAGTCACTGATACAATCGTACAAGCTGCAGCTTCGGTGCACACGGGCTGCTCGCCCGATTACACTTTCTTTCCTTTTTTAGAGCATGTTGCTGGATAATGCAGCCAGTGAGCAATTCTGCTGCACTGTGGCAGAGGCCCACTGCAGGCCAAGAGACCTCGCTGTGTGTGAA